TGTAGACAAGTGTATTTTCGTTCTTCCAATGTGACTTTTTTCTTTTTTACCACCTTTGACGAGAGCTTCATACTTGCTTTTGCTTGACCACCAGAGCAGGAAAGGAATGAGGAGGCAGGGAAGAGTCATAACGGCAAAGAAAGCCCAGTCAAGCTGAGGAATGAAAACAAATATGATAGTGAGCAGATATTAGGGATAATCTTCATGTAATTATAAGTAGTTCACTACTTACAACATGGGGAGAGAACTTCTTGTCAAAATCACGGAATGCAATAATTCCACCTTCACCGGGTTCGCTGGAGACTGCATACTGGGGCTGTTTAGCCTCATCTGAGGGCAAGTAGTTAACCTCAGCAGAGCTAAAGTTGAAGTAGCCAGGCTTGCGTGGCCTCACAACAACAACATGAGAGACATTGGCACCAGGAGGAATGCGGTCAACATTCAGTTCTAAGCTGCCTCCGACCACAGTAAATGAATCAGCAGGGAAGCTGGAATCCTTCAATGCCACATTGACGGCAGCACTGCTACCGACGTTGTAAATGGAATACTGTAAAATGAAAAAAGTAGATGAGTGCGTATTAACTTTCGAAATTTGCATGAGAAAGTATTGAAAAAGATAGAGAAAGGTTCGCACCTTAAGAACAATATCCATATCTTCTACAAGGTACTTGTTGAAGATTTGCTTGCTGACAAGCAATTTAGCTTGAGATGAGCTATCCTCTTCAGCAGACATAACAAGACCACTTGCTGCTAGGAGCAGTACAGCAACATATAAGGACTTCATTCTGTGAAGGAAATAGTATTGAAAAATTAGCCTATGGAAGATATTAAAGAGATTGAAGGTTCCAGCATTATAACAAAAATGTAGTAAAAAATTGTGTGAGTTACTAAGAAAATTTTAATTCAGAGTTAATACGAGGACATTTGGTTGTAGGAACGGATAGGATTTTAAAAGAGGACTAGTCCAGATGTCAAGTAACACATTTCTAACCTCGAAACTGTCTTTATGCCCATCTTTCACGACGTTCTAAGAAAAAGAATAGTAACGAAAACACAAAAATGCCCATAAAACTGCGTTTTACATTAACACAAAGTCTTAAAGAGAAATATGGTATACATATATGATAAAAATCAAAATTTTATCTGATGACCGACAGACCGTTTCACAGCTTAAGAAGAGTTTATGGAAACCAAGTGAAATAAACGTGAGAAAAATAGCACAAATATTCCTGTCAAGATTAAAAATGGAATTCCAGCCGTTTCCCTCACTTACTTGATGTGTATTGCACCACTTTGTTCGAAGTAAAGGCAGAAACGCCGGGGGAAAACACTTGCCAGGTCGGCAGACTGAACTTGGGAGAAGAGGAAGAAAAGAGTAACACGCCACGTCTGCCTCACGTTTGCCAACCAACCAACAGTCGGGGGAGGGGGTGCTGCGCGCGCCTCTGTGTGTGTATGTGTGTTGGTGTGTGTTAGTGTGTTTAGAGCTCTCTACTCAGCACATTCTTCTTCATTCAGGTAGCAGCAG